AAAAAAAAAAAAAAAAAAAAATATTGAAAGTAAAAGAGAACTTTTAGTTTAACAAACGGAAATATTTTTAAAAAGGAGACTATAAGTCAGAAATAATAGGGGTAACTTTTAGATATTGTTTGCAAATGTTTCATTCTTTATAATTATTTCTCTTCCACGATTTTCTCAACGTTTTGACGTATAGCTTGTACTTAGTGGGGGTGGGAGAGGAGGGGAAAGGAAAAAAAGTGTTTTGTAGGTCATCGCTACAAGGGACTTGTCTCTTTATGGTATTACGTCATCATTCACATACACGCATACTTTACCACTAACGCACTTGGTTGCTTGGGTTGGGAAGATGTAGTACGTACGTGCCGAGGCATATTCTCTGTATCCCTCGTTTACATATTATTACGCTTGGTACACGCGCATCTGAATGAAGAATCGCATTATACAGAGAGAAATTTGAAAGCATCTGAAAAATCTGGAAAATAAAAAGAAGAAGAAGAAGAAAAAAAAAGAAGCCACGTCGTAGTTGGTTTGTTCATTCGTTCGTTCATTCTCGTTGGTTGGTTTGTTCGCGTTCGTTTATTTTTCTCAATCTAAGTTTTTTTTATTTTTTTTTTTTACTATTATATATATAAGCTTGACTATACTTTCGTAAATTTCGCATAATTTTACAGTGGATAGCATTCGAATATAAAATGGGAAAGAAAACAAAAAAGTAAAATAAAAAAAAAAAGAAAGAGAGAGGAAACAACAACAAAATTCGGTTCTTTCTTTCTCACATTTTATCGAAGTTTATATATTCCAGCGAATAATTTAAAATTCCCCCCTTCCATTTCCACCCCCCCCTCCCACTATTCGGCTAACTCGTTGGTAGACCACCACACGGAATATTCATTAGATTCAAATAGTTTTGGATTTCTTCTTCCTTAACGTTTGCTTTTTCTAAGGTGTTCGTTAAAACGAACGTCACGTTTTAAAGCACAAAGAATAAGACAGACGACGGACTATTGCATTTTCGTTTGCCTTTTAATTCATTGCTTGCTTCTTATTTTTCTTCTTTTTCTTTTTTTTCTTTTTATTTTTTATTTATTTCTCCCTCTACTACTATCGCAAAGTAATACAAAATGAACTTGAAGATGTAGAAAAGGATACGCTTATACTGGCAGCAAGACTTCAGGCTAAACACCAAACAACGTTCCTCCGTTTTATGAGAAAAAGAGAGACAGAGATAGAGAGAAAGTCAGAGAGAAAGTAAGAGAGAGAGAGAGAGAGAAATACGAAATATGAGATAAGAAAGATGGAAAGAGAAAGAAATAGGTAGGGTGGCTTAAACGTCTCGTTACTTCGAGTTCCCATTCTCTTTGATTATTCTCTTTTCTTTTCTCACCCGTTTTACAGTTTCTCAAAGCTCGCTTAAGAATTCCTTCATTCGTCTATATCTCTTAACAGCACTTCTCTGGGAAAAGGAAAAAAAAAAAAGGTAAAAAAAGGGATGCTGCGTTCTTCTCTTTCACTCGCGTTTTTTCTTTCCAATCTTTTACCCCCTTTTCGAATTTAACCTTTGAGTAGTACGAACGTACAATTACGTCATATTTTAGCCAGGTTTGCGGTACCTAGATAGGTAGGAGGTAACTATGTATGCGTACTTATATATTATATATATATGTGCATGCATCGTTCTTAGTTTTCTGACATTTTGAAAGTTAGTTTTGCCGTTATTTGAAACTTTGTCTTCAAAGAGTTAAAGTCATTGCGTCGTACGTTCTCCCATTGTAAACGTTAGAGTGATACATTAAACAAGTAACAAAAGTAACAAAGGACAAACAAGTAAGTTAAAATAATGAAAGATCCCTTGTGTTCAGGGTAACATCAATTTTACAGATTATTATTATTTTTATTTTATTCGATTCGAGTTTTAATTGATTTTTTTTTTTTTTTTTTATTTAAATACATCGTATCAATTGGAAATATTGCGTTCGTTACTTTTTTAATAAATCATTTGATGATTCTTTCTTTTTAATTTTGTTTCTCTTACGAAGCAAGTCCTTGTTTTTATCGTAGCAATGAAATAGCAATATTGCAAATTAAAAAGAAGAAGAAAAAAAAAAGAAATCAAAGCGTATGAATTGACATGGATTAATATACTCTCGTCAAATACAGTTTAACAGGTTTAATACTTGTTGCCGGTATCTTTGTTTATCAGTCGGCTACTTGTAACCAATCATCGTTCTCATTTGAAGATATAGAGACTTCATTTTATTTTTTATTGTTGTACTCTTGGAAGAAAGAAAAGTTACTTTTCCAAAGATGGAATTGGTATCGATCGTTGCTAAGATACTAAGAACCTATTCGTAATATTCTATCGATGAATCGATCGATAGATCGATTGATTCCTGTATCGTAAAAGCTCATAAGACTTTGTCGTTCGTATTTGATCGTAATGTATTCAAGAAAGATCATGATGTATTTGAACGGTGTATCGGCTTGCGCTTGATCATTCTTAACGTAATACTATGAACATGACGTCATTTTTAGAAACGATTCTCAACGACACACACACACGCACACATACACATACACATACACGCGATTATGTGTGCTATAATTTTGAAAATAAGTCTGACGAAAGGTTTAGTTGGTCGTAGTTTAACTATTTTCGGATCTTACATGAAACTATATATTCGTTTACATTACGATAGGTTTGGTGTCCAAAGAATTGAATAATATGTGACAGCTGCATGAAATCTACCACAGTTGCCAATAATTTGACATTTTTATCGAAACGGATTTTATTCATTTCCAGAAAAATATAATATAATAAAGCAGATATTTTGGGTATATACCGAGCTTTTGAAATTATTATTATATTTTCATAATTAATCGTTAATATCGTAAAAGAGTAGAAGATTACGAGTCTTATAATTTGTTAAAAATAAATTTCGTCTTTCTTTTTTTTTAATTTTTTTTTTTTCATATCAGTCATAAATTTAATTACTGCGGAAATAATTATATTTAATTTATACAACCTATTTCGACGAAAGGTATTAAAAAAAAAAAAAAAAAAAAATCATTTAAACTAGTGTAACGTACTTTCCACCGATTTTATATATGTATACGTGATAAAAATATAAATCTTTGTATTAGTAATACTTTGAAATATTTTGTCTTCTTGTTTTTTTTTTTCGAAAGCGTACGAATAATTATGCAGAATAGTTTGCATCTTTTAATTATTGGATTTCTCAAGAAAATGTTGAATTCATTGAAAATAGGATGTCATGGATTATGGAGATAGTTTCTTCTCGCGTATATCTACTTTAATGAAACGGACGGACGTTTCATTAAAGAAATAAAATAAAGAGATAAAAAAGAAAAGAAAAGAAAAGAAAAGAGAAAGAGAAAGAGAAAGAGAAAGAGAAAGAGAAAGAGAAAGAGAAAGAGAAAGAGAAAGAGAAAGAGAAAGAGAAAGAGAAAGAGAAAGAGGAGAGTCGATCGTACCGTAAGTATCTGCAATGAATTTATCGGGGATATTTCTATGTGCGATGTCCATTCACAATGAGAATGGACGGTGGCCATTATTCCAGCACAATAAATAGGGACTCCAGGCTGTTGCACGAGCCCCGGGCATTTTTTTTTATAACGTATGATAATAATTATTGGCATTCGTGCATGGAAAAACTATGTATATAACGTATAGGTCCCAGATATCGAACGTCACGTTCGATTTTTTTAAATTGCCCGATGACCGTTCACGGACGAATTAATTAACGTTGCCGTTGGCAGGTTGTTTCCGAACGACGTGATTTGTATTTGATATTAATCGATGCTACTGGAATTGCCGGAAATGCAAACAAGTATCATTATTGATACTATTCAGATAATAAAATGAATGAATATTATATATGTATATTATTCATATTATTATTATTATTTGCAATGAATTGAACGTTGTTTGTTTGTTTGTTTGTTCATATAAATTATTATTTCATTAAACAATACGAACGTTTTATGTTCCCAGGTGGAATCAGTCGAATTAGCATTGAAAATTCTCGACGGATGGAAGATAAGAGGGAAAACGTTATCGGTGCAAAGGGCCAAATTTCAAATGAAGGGTGAATACGATCCGGGATTAAAACCAAAACGAAAAAAGAAAGACAAAGATCGACAAAAGAAGATCCATGAGAGGTTTGTTAGATATCACTTGTTTATTAGTTAGTTACTAGTTGGTTAATTGGTTTGATTAGTTGCTTGTTTGTTTGACTTTGTTATACAACAGTTTTGTCAATATAATTTCAATTGACGTTGAAATGCAAAATTTTTTTAATAAGATGAATACAAAGAGAGATAGATAGTTGATGAAAATCGATCAAGAAGAAGAGAGCTCTCATCTCAATAACCTATTTTAAAAAAGAAAGATGATCATCCATTCTCAGGGGGTGGAGAAGGAGGAGCAGGAGAAGAGTAGTGGGGAAGAAAAATTCTAAGATCTTTTCAATACGCGAGCAAGTACCCGTTCCCTTTTTCCTTTTTTCCTTTTTAACGATAAGAAAAAGATCGAAAGACTCGAACGAGCTTCGATCTTCCATTAAAATACTTTCTTTTTTTTTTTCTCTCTCTCTCTCTCCTTTCTTCTCTATCCTTATCTGACATCTTTTTTCTCCCCTTTACGATTTCCTTTCATCCGTAAGAGTTGTGTTCATTTATCTTCTCTTTCTCTCTTTCTCTTTCTCTTTCTCTTTCTTCCTGTACACACGTAGTAGGATGGATGCTGCATGAACCGTCACATTTACACGTATTTTCTCTGTTCTTTATTTTTCTCGAGCAATCTTGCGAGTTGGACCACAGCATCGGCATCGCATCGTATCGCATCACCGGTGTAAACGTTCTCGTTTTCTATCCTCTCGAGGGAATCGAGAGATAGGTTTCATTCCCCTTTTTCGTTCATTTTCTTTCCAATTCTTTTTTTTTTTCGTACGACTATAAATGTGTTTGTGTATATGATAGTTACGTATACTCTACATATATTTGACGTTTACAAGTATCTATGCGAATGAAGAAGAAGAAGGGACACACACACACACACATACACATACATATATATAGATATGATAGGGAAGAAGTAGAGGAGGACAGAATGGTGGATGGATGGATTGAACGTATTGCGCACGTGCACCGGATACCATCAAGCCTCTTTGGACCACGTTCATGCTAGCCACCAGACTGCTTGGCGTTGGCGGTTCCGGTAAAAGCACACCAGCTGTTCACGTCTATTACCCTTCTGCTGCTGCTGTTCTGTTGCAGAAGTAACAGTAGCGATTGAGGATGCAACGTGCATGCAACGACGCGTATCGAGAAACTTGAAGATATACTTTTTTCTTTTTTTTATTTCTTATTCTCTTACTTCTCTTCATCGACAATCTCCGATATCAAATTTTTTCTCATACGAGAGAAGAAAAAGATCTTACCATTTTCTTTATCGTTATTTTCTTCCCCCTTTCTTTCCCTTTGTCCCCATTTTCGTAGAAGAAAATACGTAATTGTATCATTTTATTTCTAATACTTAGGAAACAATTCTCAATTCAATTATGGGAAAAATGTTATAAAACTTGCGTTTGATATCTTTTTTTTTTCTTTTTTATTTTTTTTTTTTTAGAGAGAAGAAATAATATTTTGTTCGTAATATTATTTTATTTTTATTACGGAAAATCGTGAACGTGACTGTACGCAATTAAGTACTCACTTTATTTACTTTCGCGCGATCGACTTAAAACAGTTGACTTCTGTCCACGTAGTATGCGCCATCATACATACTTTGCGTTAACAGTTAGCAGCGAAGAAATAAATAATAAGTGGATGAAAACGGGTGTGTGCGTGTGTTGTTAAATTGTAGATCACCGGAATAGGTCATCTTTATTCGCGTTACTCATACGGATACAATGTAATTTTATTTGATGTTTTATTATTTTACAGGTCTAGGACGTATCTCTCTTGTATTATTCTTCACACTTTTTCCCACGAGAAAGATAAGTGGAAATTGTTGAACAGATCGAACGCACACCAATCGTTAACATTTATTTATTTTTTTTTTTTTTTAATTTTTTTTTTCATTTCCAATTGGATATAAATGAGAAGTTAGAAAAATACACCCGTTAATGTTACAATATATAGAATTAACTTCAATGGTGTGTATCTGATTTCAACGGACAATCGAGGTAGAACTTTAATTCTTGCTAGTTGTGATATAACATTGAAGGTGTTTCTTCAACAACAACACACACACACACAGGGTGTAATCACGGGTTGGTCAGGTCTGAGATTGGTCTGATGTCTTCGTTCGCAAGAACGATTATTATTTGCCTCACCACCTCCCCCTCCCCCTTTCCCCCCCTCCTCCTACCATAAGGGCAAAGCAATGTCGAAGGTTCGATGGCCTTAACTTGGTGAAAACCAGTTATTTGCGACGCAAACACCACTCTTTCGTTTCTTCAGTTTAACCGGAAGTTCGAGAAGTAACGGTCTTTCGACACTTGCAAATCTCTTATCATCTGCCTTCTTATTGAACGTTATTTTCATTGTTTTTTTTTCATCTACGTTTAGGTGATCGTGATCGAGAAATCCTTTCTCTTAAAGTTCTCACGCCGTCTAACGTTTCATTTTCATGAACGTTCTGTCTTCTTATGTTCCTTTCGGCTTAACGAATAATTATTGAAGTTTATAAGGTGATAAGATTCATCAGATGAAATAATAAAACACAAGTTTTTTTAGGGTTTTTAGAAATGAATGTTGTTTAAATGATAATTAAGTTTGTACTTCTATTAATTTGTTAATTATAATACGTCGAAGTAGACGAATGCGAAATGATCTCGCATTCCTAGACAAAATAATAATTATTAATTAAATGATAGTACATATTTGATAAATGATATGTGATAATAAACTTTCTAATATTCTGAATCATCTTAATTGACATTTATAAAGCTTATGCAAAAATATTCGACAGGCTATGAGTTAATTTTGTGTTAGTTTATAGACGAGAAATAATACTATGATTATCATTTTCCCAAGACGATGTTCGTCAAGATGAAGACGAAGACGACGACGACAACGACAACGACAACGACAAAAGTTAGCTTCTATATTCATAGTGAACTAAAAGAGCAATCTCTGAATATTAATATCCGTCCTATAATTCTTCACTTTAATGAAACTCGACGATTGAAAGGGGTAAAGGTGGTTGGATTCGCTATTGCAATGTGTTCGACGAGAGCTATTAATTGATTTTCTACTTCAACGATTCGCGTTTCTACTACTATTTGACTTTTTCTCTCAACGATATATTGATATCGGTGTAATCAAATGAAACAAAGAAAACAAAAAATGGTATTTATTGAAACCGCGACTTTTTCCGAAGTATCAATGAATATTATGTGAAAATAATAAAAAAAAAATAAAAAAAAAAGGATATTTTAAGGAACGTGATATATAGTTTTATAGGTACGTGCTGCAGCTGTATTTTCTCGACGTTTTAGTTTTATTTACGGTCTCCTAGGAAATAGACGTTTAAACATCTTGCTCGCAGCAACACGGGAAAGAAGAAGATGTGCCACACACGATGCTATGAATTGTTGCGTCTCATTAGTCAGAAACATGGGAGTTCTAGCATGCGATATATATCTTACGCAATATGTAGGAATGTTCGGATTTGTCATATTTTTTATTTATATATATTTTGTTTTTTGTTTTGTTTATGAATATAATCAATCCTGAAGAAAAATCACACAATTTCGATTCTTATCTTGTTCGTAATAAATTCCAATTATATAACATTTTTCTCTTCAATTCGTTCGTGTTAGAATTTCTTAACCAACTTCTATGTTAGACAGATTTTCTTATGAGATAACGTATAACGTTTATATCTCAACGCTATTATTACGTAAGCAAATAATATAATAATCATTCATATTATTATAATTATTATTCTTCTAGCGTGTGTGACGTTAGATATAAAACATTTGGCGTATATATTCAAGGTCTTTTAAGGATCGTACTTTCCTTTTCTTCTCTATCTTTCGATAAACTTTATGCTTTATTAAACTCTACGAGAGCGTAAAATCATCCTATTTCTCGGTAATCATTTATTCACGCCTTTAAACGAGAGTCTCGTCCTCTTCTAACATACTCCGAACACATTTTCATCGTTATCTCTGTGACTATTCTCTTGGCAAAAACTCTATAAGAAAAGCAGCTGGTATTATACTTAGTAATTCCAAAGAAAAACATAGAATTGTACTTACTAGCGTTACACTATACACTTATATATATATATATATATATATATATATATATATTGTAAATTAGAATAAAGATATATAATCAAAAATTCGTCGCGTTGAATTTTGATTACATTTCGAAATATTTGAATAACAAAGCTCTATTGTTTGAAAAATAAAGAAGAACATTTCATTGAAGCAATTTATTTTATAACACGCGAGGTTTTCAAAATAATTTCCTCTCTTACGTTGGTTGCCCATTCGCAAGGATTTTAGTTTCCGAGACTAAGGTAGAATCTAAGTGTAGCGATCATAAATTTTCGTAGGTTGATTTATGCGCATGGATCTACGCTGGTCTCTCATACATATATATATATATATATATATATATATATATATACACACACACACATACACACAATCTCTCCCTCTCTCTTCCTTCCAGTTTAATGTTTCCGAATATACTGGCTTCGATCTTGTACGCAAGGCATTGTACAAGACCTCCCTTGTGAAACGTGTTCCTTGTATAGTGTACGTGTGCATTAAGTTGTATGCGTTTATCACGTATGTGCATGCAGCTTAGTGCTTCTCCTCGCAGTTGTAATGCAAAGATACGGCGTTCACGAATTATGTTGTTCCCTAGAGCAGCAGCAACACACTGTGGTGTTTGGAAAGCTTCGTGTTCGTTATTAGCATACACCTATAGTGATCCGTATATGTGGGTCAACTTAGTACGAGATATCGAATCCCTGTAATTAGCATATTAATTATAATTGTTTATAAGTGTGCGTGTATCTGCTTTACAGATTATTCGATTGGAGGCCGGATCGTTTACCTGGGGAACCATTGAAATGCGAGAGGGTTGTAATTATTAAAAATCTTTTCTCACCTGAGGATTTCGACAAGGAGGTTGCATTGCTTTTGGAATATCAACAGGACATTAGACAGGAATGTCTGAAATGTGGAGACGTTAAGAAAGTCACCATATATGACGTGAGTAAACTCATGGGAAATTTGTTTTCTATTCTGATTGGTTAGATCGAATAAAATTTAAGAACGAACAAGTTAGAACAAAAAATGATTAAAGGAGTATGATATAACGTCGTGGTTAATAACATTAATTGTACGTTTACGGTAAGTTTTTTTTTTCTTTATTAATGAAGAACGATAAATTATGCATTAAGTTTAATATTGTGTTTTATGAGTTAGACGCCATTACGCAAACGGCGGCGTCGACGGCGTCATGGGATCCTCGCGGGAAGGCTTCTTGCTGCTGGCGTGACATTTCTAACATATTATTATTTTGTTATTCGCGATTAAGAAAAAAAAAAACACACACACACACACAAAAGCCCCCCCAAAAAACAAAAAGGATTCATTATTTATACTCTGATGCAATTGCAACAAGGGGCAAAAAATAAAAAAAAAAAAAAACGTTCATAAAGCAACCAATTTTAATTGGAAACAAAACGAACATTGAAAGGAAGGTTCCTATTTTAGTATGAAAGTATACACGACCCAGATTTTAGAGAATGCTTCGTTGCCAGAACTACTACTACTATTACTACTACTACTACTACTACTACTACTACTACTATTACTATTACTACTACTGCTATTGCTACTGTTACTATTATTCGAAAGAGAAGAAGTAACTTAGAATAGAACGGCGAATGAATCGTTTAGAAACGATCAAACTTTCGTCGGTTCGGTTAAGGGTGTGTTTTCTTCTTCGTTGCGTTAAAGCGGAAACTACAAAAAGAGGATAATAGAAAATTCTCCTTGCGAAGGATACAAATAAACGAATCTTTATGTTAGAGTGAAAGAGAAGAGGAGGAGGAGGAGGAGGAGGAGGAGGAGGTGGTGGTAATGGTGGCGGAGAGATGGAATGGTTAAAGGGGAGGAGGTGGGCAGGGGGGGAGGGGTTAGGGAAAGGACATAACCCCATAAATTCGCCGCGGGACACTCCCTAGTCGTCGAGTCTCAACCGTGAATCTATTCAATGTCAAAGTAAATTCCTTCCTCTCTCTTCTTCTTCTTCTTGTTCTTCTTCTTCTTCTTCTTTGCTCGTCCTACTTGTCTTTTCCCTTTCCCCTTGTTGTTGTCGTTTCTCGTACGTGAGGTCGGCGCGAAAAATAGCGCCGACATCAAAAGGGACAACGAAGACGACAACGACGACGACAACGACAACGACAACGACGACGAGGACGCCCTTTTAGAACTTTTCGGCCTTTCCCCAGCCAATTTACTATCGTAGTGAACAGCAAACCAACTACGCTGAACCAGTTTTTGTTTTCTCCAAATTCGTTATGCGTATATGTGTATATATGTGTGTGTGTGTGTGTGTGTATTGGGGTTAGCCGCACACGCGTTTCTAAATTATTTTTCATGGTTATATAAATAATCGACATATTCATATATTCCTAGCTAACCCTTTTACATCTTCTT